ACCTTGACTCTACAATAAATCATAAAATTTAGCCGGGCGTGGTGGTGCATGCCTACAGTCCCAGCTACTTGGAAGGCTGAGGTAGAAGGATTGCCTGAGCCCAGCAGGTGGAGGCTGTGGTGGCCGTGAGCATGCCACTATACTCCAGCTTGGGTGACAGAGTGAGACCCTGAATAATAATAAAAAAATTACCTCCTTTCTGGAGTGTAAAAAAAGAAAAAAGAAATTTGCTTTTTTTGAGTTGGAGCCTCATTCTGTCGCCCAGACTGGAGTGCAGTGGCCGCTCCCAGCCACCGCAGCCTCGACCTGCTGGGCTCCGGCGATCCTTCCGCCTCAGCCTTCCAAGTAGCTGGAATTACAGGCATGCGCTACCACGCCCGGCTGATTTTTTGATTTATTGTAGAGATGAGGGCTCAGGCAATCCACTCACCTCAGCCTCCCAAAGGCGTGGGATAACAGGCTGAGCCACCGAGCCCGGCTAGAAAAAATAATTTTTAAAAATAGCTAGGTGTGATGGTGTGAGCCTGTAGTCCCAACTCCTTGGGAGGCTGAGATGGAAGGGTCGCCTGAGCCCAGAAGGTCAAGGCTTCCGTGAACCGTGATCATATCAGTGCACCCCAGCCTGGGTGACGGAGTGAGATTTCGACTCAGAGTGAGCTTATGGTTTACCACAGCCTCAACTTCCTATGCTCAAGTGACCTCCTGCCCCAGCCTCTTGAGTAACTTAGGACTATAGGCACCGAGCTTATTTATAAATTTTTTGTAGAGACAGAGGTCTCACTATGTTGTCCAGACTGGTCGACTGGTCTTGAACTCTTGACCTCAAGCAGTCCCCCTGCCTCAGCCTCCTAAAGTGCTGAGATGACAGACGTGAGCCACTGTGCCCAGCCGATCTCAAGGTATCTTCTGATTTCCCTTGGAATTTATTTTTTGAAGAATTTGTTGTCTAGAAGTATATTTTTATGCATTTGTGAATTTTCTAATTTTTCTTATTATATTGATATCTAGTTTCATTTCATTGTGATTGAAAAAGATACTTCGAATAATACCAATCTTTTAAATTATGATGAGTTTTAAAATATATATATATATTTTTTGCATCAGAGTTTCACTCTGTCACCTAGGCTGAAGTGCAGTGGTATGCTCACAGTCACACAGTGTCGACTTGCTGGGCTCAGGTGATCCTTCCACCTCAGCCTTCCAAATAGCCAGAACTACAGGTGCCCAGCCTAAAAAAATCTCAACTATGGTTTATTCTGGAAAATGTTTCATGTGTACTTGAGCAGAATGTTTTTTCTGCTGTTGTTGGGTGGAGTATTTGGTATAGGATCTGTGCATCTAGTTGTTTTATTCTGTAATTCAAATTCTTTATTTTCTTACTAATCTTCTATTTCTTGTAAATGTAGTATAAAGTCTCCACCTGTTCTTCTACAACTGTCTATTTCATAATTGTTATGTATTGTCAATGAGTTGACACATTTATAATTAGAAAATGTTCTTCTTTGTGACTTGTAATAGTTTTGACTTAAATTCTATTTTGTCTAATGTTGATATAACCACCCCTTCTCACTTTTGTTTACTATTTGAATGGCATATCCATTTGTTGTTGTTGTTTTAGACCACACAAGACCTAGTTCCTGCAAATGGAATATCTTTTTTCATCCTTTACCTTTCAACTCACTTGTGTTTTCAGATCTAAAATGAGTCTCAGTCTGGGCACAGTGGCTCACGCCTATAATCCCAGCACTTTGGGAGGCCAAGGTGAGAGGATTGCCTGAGCCCATGGGTTCAAGACCAGCCCGGGCAACTTGGCAAGACCTCATCTCTACAATAAATCAACAAAAATTAACCGGGCATGATGGTGCAGCCACTTGGAAGGTTGAGGAGGAAGGATCATCTGAGCCCAGCAGGTAGAGGCTGTGGTGGCTGTGAGCATGTCACTGCACTGCAGCCTGGGCAATAGAGTGAGACTCAGACTCAAAAAACAAAAAATAAAAATAAAGTGAGTCTCTTGTAAGTAGCATATTGTTGGATTATGGTTTTTTTTTGATCCATTCTAACTATCTCTGTTTTTACACTGGAGAGTTCAATCCATTTTAATTTAATTACTGACTGTGAGTGGTGGCTCATGCTTGCAATCCTAGCACCTTGGTAGGCTGAGATGGAAGGATTGCTTGGGCCTAAGAGTTTAAGACCAGTTGGAGCAACATAGCGAGACCTCATTTCTCCAAAAAATCCCCAAATACTTAGCTGGGAGAGGTGGCACATGCCTGTAGTTCCAGCTACTTGGAAAGTTGAGGTGGAAGGATTGCCTGAGCCCAGAAGGCCGAGGCTGCGATGAACAATGATCTTGCTGCTCTCCAGCCTAAGCGACAGAGTAAGATCTCGACTCAGAAAATAAATAAATAAATAAATAAAAGCCAGGCGCAGTGGCTGGAGGTGAGAGGATTGTCTGAATGCAGGAGTTCAAGACCAGCTTGGGCAACTTGGCGAAACCTTGTCTCTACAATAAATCAAAATATTAGCAGGGAGCAGTGGTGGGTGTCTGTAAACCCAGCTGCCGGGAGGCTTAGGCTGAAGGATCACCTGAGCCCAGCAGGTTGAGGCTGTGGTAGCCTTGCCACTGCACTCCTGCCTGGGTGACAGAATGAGACTCTGAATCTAAATAAATAAATAAAGTAACTATTGCTGACTTCTTCAGTTATTTTACCCTTTGTGTTCTGTGTTTTTGGGCTTTTGTTGTTGCTGTTGTTGCTCTTTATTTCTTCCAACACTGCCTTCTTTGTTTAGTCCATTTTTTTAAAGTTGGAGTCTCACTCTGTCGCCCAGGCAGGAGGGTAGTGGCACGCTCACGGCCATGCCAGCGTCGACCTGCTGGGCTCCGGCGATCCTTCTGCCTCAGCCTTCCAAGTAGCCGAAACTACAGGCACGTGCCACCATGCCCAGCTAATTTTTTTGATTTATTGTAGAGACGAGGTCTCGTCAAGTTGCCCGGGCTGGTCTCGAACCCGTGGACTAAGGCAATTCACTACCCTCGGCCTCCCAAAGTGCTGGGATTACAGGCTGAACCACCAAGCCCGGCCTAGTTCATTTTTTGTAATAAAACATTTTTATCATCTTCCCATTTCCTTTTATGTATTTTCTACAGATTTTTTAAATGGTTACCATGGGGATTACATTTGACATAATAAGTTATAACAGTATAACTTTTTGTTTTGTTTTGTTTTTGAGTTGGAGTCTCACTTTGTCACCCAGGCTGGAGTGCAGTGGCACGTTCATGGCCACCAAAACCTCGACCTGCTGGGTTCTGGCAATCCTTCTGCCTCAGCCTTCCAAGTAGCTGGAACCACAGGCACAGGCCACCACATTTGGCTCATTATTATTATTATTTATTGTAAAGACGAGGCCTCACCAAGTTGCTCAAGTTGGTCTCGAACCCTGGACTCAGGCAATCCTCTCACCTCTGCCTCCCAAGGTGCTGGGATAACAGGCATGAGGCACCACGTCCTGCCAAGAGTTTCTTTTTTTCATACGTTTCCTGTCTTTGTTTATATTTTCCTTTAGATTATTGAGAACATTTTACACCAAGGAACAGCCTGAAATGTAAAGTTAAGGTCTTTTCTTAGTTGTGCCTTTCCCTGTGCATGTATGGTAACTTTCTAATTTTCTCTGTATATATGTTGCTTTTGTATAACCCAATCTTCAATGTCTGGCTCCCAGAAGGAGAGAAAGAAAAAAATGAGAGGAAAAATAAAATGTACTAGTTCTTTATATTCCCTGGTAGTCACCTCAGATGGAAGGGAAGGACCTTGTAACAATGGGGGGAGATGCAGCAACAATAACTGCCCCCTTCTTTGCAACTCTCTGATCAGAAGCAGCAATTAGCAAGCAGAGTACAGATTCCCAGTATTTGCAGGACAAGGTCCTTTTTGCCTAACCTGGTCCCCAAAAGCTGCATATAAACTTAGCCGGGAGTGTGAAGTGGGTAGCTGAAGAGTTGAAATTGACTGCAGTTAACCACAATTTACCATCTAATCCTTTCCCTCCAAGTTGAAAGGTTGTGATAGATTCCCGTTACACAATAGCTATATCAGTTTGATTCTACGAGTGCAATATTTTTCTTTTCTTTTCTTTTTTTTGAGTCGGAGTCTCACTCTGTCGCTCAGGTTGGAGTGCAGTGGCACGCTCCCGGCCATCGCAGCCTCGATCTGCTGGGCTCAGACGATCCTTCCTCCTCAGCCTTCCCAGTAGCTGGAATTACTGGCGCGTGCCACCACGCCCGGCTAATTTTTTGATTTTTTTTTTTTTTTTGAGTTGGAGTCTCGGTCACCCAGACTGGAGTGCAGTGGCCGCTCCCGGCCACCGCAGCCTCGACCTGCTGGGCTCCGGCGATCCTTCCGCCTCAGCCTTCCGAGTAGCGGGAATTCCAGGCATGCGCTACCACGCCCGGCTGATTTTTTGATTTATTGTAGAGATGAGGTCTCGCTGCCCAGGCGGGTCTCGAACCCGCGGGCTCAGGCAATCCACTCACCTCAGCCTCCCAAGGCGTGGGATTACAGGCTGAGCCACCGAGCCCGGCTTAATTTTATGATTTATTGTAGAGATGAGGTCTCGCCATGTTGTCTAGGCTGGTCTCGAAACCCTGGGCTCAAGCAATCCTCTCGCTTTGGTCTCCCAAACGTGCTGGGATTACAGGCTCGAACCACCGCGCCCGGCCCCTGCAAACATTTGTGGCCCCAGGTCCAAGAGGATTTAGAAGGAAGAGCCCGTTGAACGCAGGAAGACGACAGTGCCCGCTCTGGCCAACAAGAAGCAGGTTCTGATTAAAAGTAAATACCCGCGGGGCGGGGTGCCGAGAGGAATCGAACCTGAGGGGCAATCGCTAGAACCTGTCAATACGGCGGCACGCACGTTTCCATGGCTTCCACGTCACTCAGGCCTCAGGGGGCGGGACCTGCAGCACTAGCCAATCAAGGGCGCAGGGGCGGGCCCCGCGGGCCGTCCAATCAGACGCGCCGTGGGAGAGGAGGGCGGGGCCCTGCCCCACCCCACCGAGCCTTTGTTTCTCGCGTCCGCCCCCCTGGGGCTCGAGTCACGGTTTCTTGGGGAGGCCCGGGTGCCTCGGCCGCAGCCTCCGTCGCGCTGTGACCTGCACGGGCCGCGGGAGCCCTTGGGAGGATGCCGGGTCACCTTGGAATCCGCGAAATGGTGAGTGTGCGGGGCCGGC